CATATTAAACAGCCACGGCTAAGCGAACCGTTGCAACCAAAGATAAACGATTTAATGGGACGCCAATCGTGAGAGCACACTTCGCGGCGGATCCATATCAGCGGAAATCAGTTTCTAAAGTTTAACACTAGTACTTTCAATTTCGTCAAAATGGCGGATTTCAATTCTTTTATTTTACAATTAGAAGAGAGAGAACTACCATGAATTGGGACACTTTTGTTTCGCACACGATAACAACAGAACTAAGCAATCTATCTAATTGTAGCTTGAAATATTCGAAAGATCGGTTCTTGCACTATAAGAATGCACAGCGTCAATGAGTTTCTCCTGCGTTCACTTACTTTATTTTAAATTTGTTTAAAAAGTGCATTTTGTCCCATTCATTGATTGATTGTATTCGATGGGACAGACGTGTTCGTGAATGAAATAGCGTAACAAAGTAATGTAATGTTTGCATTAATCTTATTAGTACTGTCTTTTTATTCACTGTAAATTACATAAATCTTCTCTGCATCTTTGCAATAACACAGTCTTGCAGTAGTTCTCAAATGTTATATCTAGAAAGACAAACTTCTCGATCGAGTTTAGTGTTTAGTATAGTCAAAAGTTTAGTTTATTGTACTCATGAGTTATTCTACGATTTTTTACTAATTTTTCGTATACTACATCTGCTTCAACCGAATCAATTTTATCGTCAATGTAGGACAAATTGATTAAGTCAAATTCATTTTACAGTCACTACAGGAAAAATTGATTAAGATGACGAATGCAACATTGTAATTCTATATAATTTATTGCAGATTGTTCTAAACAATATCAGAAATCTCTGAGTTCTTGGCTTTTACGATCTTCCTGAAATCTCGATCAATTTTTTGATCGGAGTTTCAAGTGCAAACAGTATTTTATGTGTACATTGCAAATAATCAAGATATTTGTAAAATATTTACATCTAAATTATATTACATAACGTTTAATTTTTACAGTAGTATTTACAATCACTCTTACCGATCTTTCGTATATGTCTATTTTTACACAATTTATTATACACATGCTCGTTAAAGAAAATGTTGAAAAGTTAATTTTGGAAGAGAGATGAAACTTATAAAATGATACTGAATTGAAATGTTAAAAGGTACCGTTTCACTTCTTTAGTAAGAATATAGTCTTGAATTAAGATTTAAAAACTACTTTTTAACCCCTTTGATGAAAATAGCGTTCGATTACAATTCGAAAAGTTGTCTTTTGGCCACCTCGATCTCTTTTTATCGACTCAGAGCATTTACGATCAATTGATGAAAATAGTATTGAGTTTAAAGTTTTAAAATGTGTCATTCGACTCCTCTGGTAAAAATAGCGTTTAAACGATTCGTTTTGTCTAGTTTGCTTTGTTAACACAGTCTAAGTAACAGGAAATACGTATGGATCAGAGATCGAACCGGGACTTTAAACATCGATCGTCCGGCTCGGGAAATAAAAACGAAACATCCGGCGGATGATACACTGGGAACGAGTGCATTGGTGCACGATCGATTCCATTCGGAATGTGCAATGAATTCAATGAATCCATTCAAGACGTTCTACTTTGACACCGGGGACCGACGATCATGAATTATCGATACGCTGAAAATGGGAACTTATGTAAATTATACGGGTCGCGGTGGTTGGCTCGACTATAAAAATGTTGTAGAATGTTCGATACACCAATGGGACGATTCGGGTGAACGAGCGGACGGTTTTATGAACTATGCGGCGAAGTACATATCGCCTGGATGAATATCGAAGTGAGATATAATGCGCGTGGAAAAATAAGAACGAGAAAGTTTGGTGGCAGTAGAGTTGTACAGAATTGCAATGGTATTATTACTCGTGGAATTACAATTACGAAGTAATCCAGTAATATTACGATTCAATTATACTGCAATTCAACGATATTGTAATTCAATCATATTGTAATTCGATCACATCGTAATTCGTAATTCAGATCTCCATTCGATTAAATTACAATGTGTAATTCGTAATTTCAATTGGAGCTTAATTATAAAGTACTGAGTAATTAAATTACATTGATTACGAATTACGATATAATTGAATTGAAATTACGAATTAAAATAATAATTAATTTTTAGGCAATAAAAGAAGAAAATACGCAGACCAGACAAAAAATGAATATACGAAAGAGAAACAGAAAAATGTATCTCACAACTTCAAAGTTCTTGGCTGTAATCCGAAGAACAGTGTTTCAATTACATTGCATTAATGCAGTTGCTATTTCTATATACTAATAATAAATGAACTATTTATTATTATTACTGAAAATTAATAATAATAGTGAACT